ATCCACGTCCCTTTGGTGGTGGGGACAGCAGAGCTGGATGCAGGATTCGAGGAGGGGTCTCAGCAGAGCAAAGGGGGAGAATCCCCTCCCTTGCTGTGCTGGCCACACCCCAGGGTGCAGTTGGCCTTTGGGCTGCCTGAGCACACTGCTGGCTCCTGTTGAGCTTCTCATCCAGCTCCTTCTCCTCGGGGCTGCTCTCAACCAGCCCTGTACCTGGTTCAGGACTGTGCCTGGATCAGCCCCACCCAGGGGCAGCACCTTGCACTTGGACTTGTTGAACCCCCTGCAGTTTGCACTGGCCCCTGTCCCCAGCCTGTGCAGGTCCCCCTGGCTGGGCTCCCTCCCCTGTCCAGCACAACACACAGCTTGGTGTCATCAGCTCACTCGCTGAGGGTGCCCTCAGTGCCACCACCCACGTCCCTCACCAAGAGGTTCCACAGACCCCTGAGCAACTCCCCTGGTCGCTGGTCGTGGCAGCTCTTTGAGGGCCACCTTCTAAGGCAGTTCCTTTCCCACAGAGGGGTCCACCCACCACGTCCATGTCTCTATTTCAGAGGCAGGGGTGTTGTGTGGGGCAGTCTGGGACAGTCTCAGCTGCCTTGCACAGGTCCAGGTCGAGGACCTCAGTTGCTCTTCCCCCATCTGCCAGAGCTGCAGCTCTGCTGGAGAAGGCCACCAAGTGAGATGAGACGTGGAGAGGTGGTGCTGAGGGAGGGGGTTTGGAGAGGACCTGGCAGTGCTGGGGAGATGGTTGGACTCAATGATCTCACAGGTCTTTTTGGGGCCTGATCTTGTGACTCTGTGACCACGCTGTGTCCATCCAGGCTCAGAACACAGCCCTGGCTGGGCCTGTGCCCAGGCACCACTGAGGGGTGGGCACATGGGAAACACCACGAGGTGTCCCTGGGGCCTGTGAGTGATGGGTCTCCGTGGGCAGGTGGAAGAGGAGCTGCAGGAGCAGGAGTTCCTCGACAGGTGCTTCCAGGAGATGCTGGAGGAGGAGGAGCAGGACTGGTTCATCCCATCCCGTGACCTGCCCCAGGGCATGGGGCAGCTGCAGCAGCAGCTCAACGGCCTCTCGCTCAGCGACAGCCACCCCTCAGAGGACATCCTGGTAAGGGCCTCACAGAACCTGCCCCGGGGTCTGGAGAGGAGCAGAGGAGCTGTCCTGCCCTGGGGGGTGGATTCCCAGGGGGGTTCCTGGGTGGCCACGGGGTGTCGGTGCAAGAGCTGCTGATCAGGCACCAGGGATGGCACAGATGGGAGTTTTCTGACAGGCTGAAACGGAGGAGATGGCCTCCAGTTGCCCCAGGGGAGGTTTCAGTTGCCCCTGAGGAACAATTTCTTGCCCTGGAGGGTTGCCCAGGGCTGTGCCAGGCTGCCCAGGGCAGTGGTGGAGTCCCCACCCCTGGAGGGGTTTCCAAGCCGTGGAGATGTGGGGTGAGGGACACGGGGCAGGGGGGACCTGGCAGGGCTGGGTCACGGGTGGGCTCCAGGAGCTCAAAGAGCTTTTCCAACCCAAAGGATTCTCTGCTTGGTTTAGCCACAGGTCCTAAAGACAAAAGTGCCCAGCTCTGCAGAACCTGTGGGATAGGGCTGCCTCTTGCACAGGAGCTGGGCTCTGGTCCTAGAGAAAGCTGAGGCCTTTCTGGCCTTTTTGGGCAAGATGGTTTGAAGCTAAGAGGGAGAGTCACACTAGAGAGAAGGGAGAAACTTT